CCAACAGGTGGCCCCATAACGCCACACTAGAGCGAGACATTCGTGAGGAAAAAGAGTGTTGTCGTGCAATCCACATGCAATCCGGGTTGCCATATGAGTTTCACACATACTCGTTTCCATATGCCTGCATGTCGATGTCGTTTGATCGCCCGTCATTGTCAGACCCGGCCAAGTCACAATGGGAAGCCTTAACTAAGTCTAAGTTCGATGGCATTCGCAGATGCTTTGGTCAATTAGTGTATTACCGAGATCGCAAGGTAAGCAAGAGGACTCTCGAACCAAACATGTCGCCTGGTCTCTTCATGGGATGGCGCATCGAGTCGGGTTTCCGTTATCGTTATGTAGCCAGAATCATGGATTACATGGATTTTAAAGTTAGTAAGCACCCCAATGTGTTAGATGTGCCTGAGGCCGAAGTCTACACAGAGGAGGGACCGCCCGTTTTTCCCATGGCGTCAACGAAGTTGAGGCATCTCCATGGTGGTTCATTAGGCATTTTGGACGACATTGCCAAACTAGACATGCCCGACTATCCCATGAAAGAGGTTCCCTTTGGGGAAGAGGGTGAAGACGCTGCGCCGCCGACGCCCGTAGGGCCTAAGTCCCGAAGTGTGTACATAACACTAGATCGAGTAATCCGATTCAGCGAAACTCCTGGCTGCAAGGCCTGCGAGCGCAAGACACGTCATCACACTGCTGAGTGCCGAAAGCGTTTCGCACGACTTGTTGAAGAGGAGAAGACCGAACTTTTGGCAAAGCGAAAGGAAGGAATCACTGTTGAAGAAATTCCTCCTGTAGCCCCAGAAGATCCGCCTCCACCACCGCCAGCGGACCCTCCGCCGGAGGTACCAGAAGATGCCAGCGCTACGCCGACGATAATAGCCGGCCTTTCGATAACCCCGCACACCACATAAAGGACCCAACTAGTACAAACTAGACCCGAAAGTGGCGTGCCTGTGTTTGGAATGCCTGCAATGACCGAAGCCTCACAAGTAGGTCAAGTTAAGAAGAAGAGAAGTAGAGGTAAGAAGAGACCACCTAAGTTCAACCGTTGCATGTTCGAGTTTGCGCGTGCCCCTGATTCTCAGATGCATAAGACATTTCTAGAGTTGGGAATCCCACATGTACCCCTAAGCAAGGAACACCTCGACCTGACAAACGCCGACATGCAGGACCAACTCCATAACCATTTGGAGACCTGTGAGGAGGTGCCAGACCTGTGGGCGTCAATACCCTGTACCTCAGGGTCCCCATGGCAAAGGGTCAACAGGTCCAAGGGAGGTGCACGATTTGCCCGTGTACACGCACAGCAGGTTCGTGAATCCAAGCGCCTTTTCGCAGAATTCGAAAGAAGCGCAGGGATCGTCCTTAGCAGGGGGGGCACTGTGACCTTTGAATGGCCAAAGGGCTGCGAGAGTTGGAATCGCCGTGACGTCCAGTCGTTCTTTGATTCGCGTCCAGAATTCCAACAAGTCGAGTTTGATGGTTGCGCAGTAGGAGTTATATCCACTAAGGATAGACCCATTAAGAAGACCTGGAGACTCATGACGACAAGCCAGCGCATCGTAGATGCTTTTTCGCAGCACAAGTGCACGCACTCCCCACATGAACACGATCACGCGGTTGGGTCTCAGACCGCAAAGACGAGGGTAAATGGTAGGCGAAATAGCCAGAGCTTTGTACCCCCAAAAGGGTAATCTAGCTCCAGCCCCAGCCATGCCATGTGTAGTCCCAGCCGCTGCCTCCCAGGCGCGGGAAGAGGATCATAGGGTGAAAGAGCAATCTTTGAAACACATCTCCGCACTTGCAGGAGCCGACACGTTTGCATTGGCCGTCGAAACCGACGAAGTTGCAAACCAGATGGCAGAATGCCTGATGGATTTGGAAACTCTCGTTCGAACTGCATTCGATATTCCTGAAGATCCTGAACATCACGGTAGGGTACATGCCATGGTAACTAAGTTGCTCTCTAGAGCAGAGATGTTAGCGAACCCTAAAGCCGAGAAAGTAAAGGAAGAAGCAACATCCCTGACCGACATCGGCGCATGGGATCTTGATTCGGTTCAAGAATATGATGCAGTCAAGGCTGAAGCAAAGGCTAGCAAAGTGTCCGTACACTTTGGCCGTCGATCTAATGACTATCGCCTCGATTAAATTTTGGGAATTGGCTGAACACCTCCACAAAATGAAGGGGCGAATAGTATATCGCGGCGACTGTGCACGCGACGAGAATGGCGTCGCCGCCGTCTACGAGGAATTGGGCGCGAACCCAACCTCCGTACAGGGATTAAACGCCTGTCTAGCCTACGGCTCCTTGCCGGGACATGCCTGCACGGCGGCGGACGCCGTGAAGGCTTATGTTCAAGCCTTTCTCAAGAGTAAGTACAAAACGTGGATCGAACTCCCACCTGAACTCCGCCCGGAGTGGTGGAAGGGAAAATTCACCCGTCCAGTGGTACTTCTAGTGAGGGCACTATATGGACATCCCGATGCAGGCGGAATGTGGGAAAACCACTTAAAGGGGATTTTAAAGAAAATGAACGGTGAGGAGATTCCTGAGTACCCCGGAAATTTTTATTTCAAAGGGACAGGTCTCATGTTATCTACGTACGTAGACGATTTGACATTATCCGGACCTTCTGAGCACCATGCTCCTTTCTGGAACCAGCTAATGTCAGAAGTAAACGTAGAACCTCCCGAAACCATTTATAGAATCCTCGGACGAAACCATGTGTATGCCAGTTTCGACAAAGTACAGGGTGAAGAGAACGCTGCTTTAGGCGCGGCTCCCGATGCATTGATTTTCGACATGAAGGACTATGCCCAACAGACCATAGACCTTTATAAAAGCGTTGCTAAAGTCGATAAAATCAAACCCGCACAAACACCCTTTATCCCTGACGGAACGTGGCCAAAGGAGGACGAGGACTCTCCTGGAGAGCTCGCCCCTAAAGCATGTTCAATACTAATGAAGGCCCTTTGGTTGGCCCGCCTCTCTAGACCCGACATCCTTAAGCCTATTAACGACTTAGCAACTAAGGTCCAAGCCTGGACTAGGGTACACGATAAGAAGTTATTAAGGCTAATCCAATACCTCCAATATTCGCTAGACTACAGACTAACCGCTTCTTGCCAAGATGATCCTAGGGATCTCAGGCTTGAGCTATATGTCGACGCAGACTTTGGAGGCGATGCCGGTGACGTTAAGTCAACCTCGGGCGGGTTCCTCACACTAAAAGGTCCCAACACATTTTTCCCACTTGCATGGATCTCGAAAAGACAGACATCCACTTCACGCTCAACCACGGAGTCAGAAGTGGTGAGTTTGGCACACTCTTTGTACCAGGAGGGCATACCTGCTCTCCAGCTCTGGGAGAAACTCTTGCAGAGGCCGGTGGACTTAGTTATCCACGAGGACAACCAAGCCACCATTATAGTCGTTCGTAAAGGGTATTCCCCCAAACTTCGACATATCGGCCGGACACACAAGATAAACCTCTCGTCCTTGAAAGAGTGCCTCGATGACCCATGCATCAATGTGCAATACATCGACACCAACGAACAGGCCGCCGACATCTTTACTAAAGCGCTGCCACCACAAAAGTGGTATAAAGCTTTATGCCTTCTTGGCATACGTACGGATATTCGCGAGCCAAAGCCATCCCTTAGGGATCGAAGCTTTTCGCTAGGAGCCGATGTAGGTGCCAAAGCCGCTGCTAAATGCGCGGTAATTAATACATGTACAGTGAACCCATGACTCGCAAAGCGGCGAGGGGGGAGTCAAAATATCACATACAGTGGTAACCCCGAACTTGCTGTGTCATGGAGGGTTCATGGATGTTTGTGTTTTCGAACGTCGGTCGTCAAGGACTCGTCTCACACCGACGCTCGCGATGGCTCAAGAAACGATTGCGCCCGCGGTCGTTTCAGCGCTCGTGCACGTCGCTTCGTTCGGTCGCGCCGTGCCACTTCGCTTTCGTGCTTTTCGTGCATTTCGATAGGTTGCCGTATCGCGCTCCCTTCGTTCGCGCGACACCTCGTTCGCAACGGGTACCAACCCTTCCGGTGTTCCCCGTCGCGTACCAACCCGTGCCAGGGTCCTCCATACAATAGGATACCTTTCCCAACACCTCCCACTCCGTAGGTTGTGGTGGCTGTTTGGGGCTGATATCCCGGAACCCTTGTCACTTTCATTTGTACAGGATGAAGCTTTGGGTGAAAGCTAACTTCAGTAGTCCTTTGATCTAGAGAAGAGACCTGTTAGATGAAATATGAACCAAACTTGGCTCCATGACCAGCAGTCAAACAAAGTGTTTGAGACATGAATGCAATCTTCAAGTACTTGCAGGGCCAGTACAGCACCAGTTGCTGTAGTGCCCGAATCCACTCGATGCATTCGAGTTTTGCTTCAAAACGACGTTCAACTTGACACATTTGTGTGGAGGCCTTACCTATCTGGCTCACCGAAGGCCGGGCCACAGAGGAATCTCAAAGATTCCTTTACATCGCCAAAGCAAGGAGCCAGGATCCCGTTTGAGAGTCCTGAGTTGCAAGCGCAGGTGAGATATTTCCAGAGTGCGAGACATTTCGCCAGGTCGGGTGGGAGCGTGAGATGGAATCTCTTCTGGGGAAGAGCATAACAGGAAGCTACTAGTAACAAAGAGCATCGCTACTAGGAGCAAGGACGCTACTAGTAGCTCCTGGCCTTACTACTAGGAACAAGAAGCTACTAGTAAGATGCCTTAGCAACCCTGGGTAGATCAGAAAATCAACGACACTTCTTCACGCGGTCCTTTAAGTTACGATGGTTTAGAAGGTGTGAAGAACCGTCAAGCAGTGTGAATGATTTCCATGACTAGTTCGGACATTGAACAAACGATATCGAGTTGGTGATGGCTGCTTGTGCGTAGTTACTCGGACATGAAAGGTCCTAATTGCGTTATAATGGCGTTTTTGTTGCTTTGATGAAGGGACTTTTGCCGGACGTCGCTTTGCTCAGGGCATCGGATGCCTGAGAAGTCAGGAGAGGGTGGGTGCGCGTTCAGTGAACACGGCAATTCATGTGCCCCAAAATACGAAGGCAGAGCGTAGAACCAGAGTTGAATCTTTTGGCCTGGCTCCCCATCCTTTGGCAGGACCCAGTGATCAGTCAGGAATCAACCACTCAGCCACCCTCCTGAGTTTGGTTGCACCAGCTGTTCTCAAAAACACAACGAAACGACCAGGCCGCTCCGGAAGCGGGAGGCCAGCCAAGCTGTCCAACAGGCGAGTTGGCACCTGCAACGACCATTTGCTGAGAGCGGGAACTGTGTCAAGCAAAGGGTTTCTCTGCAGTTTCTATCTCCTACTTCCACTGGATGTCGCTGTTCAGTAACATTTGTTGATTAGAATTCCCCTCAAAAAATTATGGAATCGCGGAAAAGATACTTAGGGGAGCTCGCAAAGATCACAGAAAAGCTAGGCTCACCGAATGCTAAAGAAACGGTTCAGCCGTGTTTGTTAGACCCAACTTGAAATAGTGTCAGTGTTTTCCACTACAGAAGTTCTGAACCAACAGCGCTTTGGCCTGAAGTGTATGCAGGTTCTGAAGCGCTTGCCGTTGAGACACTGCCGGCAAGCCATGCACAACTTCCAAAGGTCGGTGTATTTGTGTGTGTGTGTCGCTTCAACAGTGGTAGCTCGTTAGGAACAAATGTATGGGCCTGGAGATTGCACTTCTTCACCGCCTAAATCATTTATGACCATAGAATAGATTAGACTTGCAAGATCGCATCAAGACACATCTCACGAAATAAAGTTAGCGGATATGGGTGAAGAGTGAGGCGAAAACAGCTTTGTGTGAAGACTGATACTTCACAGCTTTTCACATAGCCAATAAGCAGAGCGGAGTGCATCTCATGCCTTTGGAGTGCATCACGGTTCCTCCAAGTTTGGTGCCAATAACACCTCATTTGGATGCAAATTGTTTGGAATTTGGCCACACACTGGCCCAATCCCTCGAATCGGAAGTTGAGCCGGGAGAGGAAGCCTGTGGAAGCTCGACAGATGCGAGCAGCAAGTCGCCTGACCAGGCGCCTGCGCCATTTTATGGGAGGTGGTCGCAGAATGTCCATGTCAGTTCAGTTCGTTCAATTTTGCGGTGCTCAGGTGCTTGTGCCAGATGATCCTGTAAATGGCACCAGTGGGGAATTGCCCACTGTCGCAGCCAACGCAGAAGCGAAGTCATCATCCGAGCAGGTCTGCCGGGATTTGGTGCAAAGCATGGTTTTGATGTTCAAGCCGTCTAGCCCATAGCTTAGTAACTGCGTCAAAGGGGCGGACGCAGTCCGGAGTTGATTTTGCAGGAGCCCACTTTGAGGGAAGATGAGAAGGCTGGGAAGTTCAATCAGAGTGCTGTCCTGGTTTCAGTTTCTCGTCTTGTCTCCAAGAAACGTTGGAAGGCATCTCCCGCACCAACAGAGCCAGCCTCGGATGCGCCAGCTTTAGATGCTGAGAAAGTGCAAGAGGTGGCTCAGACCGGCAGAGTCGCAATCGGGCTGGGAAAAACCGTCATTTGCGTTTATGTTGCAAAAACTGGTGGGGCTTTGGACACCTTGAAAGACTCACTTAGAGCTGGTATCCTTTCGACTAGAAATGATCAGGGACAAGTAGATGAACATGTGCACACAAGTACATGGCCTTGCAATTGCCACATGGAGTTTACGGTTTGAGATTAGACTGTAAAGATAGCAGTTACACCGCAAAGGACTGCAAAAGTGTGCCCAACACTCACATGCCCTTTGAGTGAGTTCTGTTTTTGCAGGAGCTTGCTTTGAGGAACGACGAGGATACTTGGACACATTTAGACGCTGTTTTTTTGTCGATTTTTTTGCTGACCGAATGGCCGTGCCACCAGACTCTGTCGTTCACCACAGGTATTGCACAGCAATTTGAAATTTCCACAGCAATTCCTATCCATCAGACAGTCTGCTCATCCATGTATCGAATGAGCCACTCAGCTCCCGCCCTGTTCCAGATCCGCCCCTCGTTGGATGTATATCCCTTTACATTACCACAAAACCATTTCCTGCCACCCCCAGAGCCAAGAATGCCAAGTTCTCCCTTCTCACGCTCCACCCCTCAACCAGCAAATCACCTCTGTGGCCCTGCCACCCACCTCTACGACGGTTGTTCCTTGGGTATTTCCATCCCTCGCGGGTCAACGTCCCGTCCCAACTCCTTGCTCAGCAGCACCTGACTGCAATAAAGGATTGCTTGTGAATGTAATGTGGGAGTTTGTAAAGTGTGCGTTGATTCACCGGAATACAGTGTACTCTCTTGATATGCTTTTGCATCATACCTGTGGTCTATTGCAAATCAGGTTTGCACATGTGTTGTGTGTTGCAGTTGCAGCATGGTCTGCTTTTAACACCCGTTGGAGGCATTCAGGTGTGGAAATCTAACCACAAGATGCGGCACAACACAAAGTATGTAGGATTCTACGGGGGAGGGTTCTCATGCCCTACAGGTCAAGAGGTTCAACTTTCCACATGGCAGTGTAGTTGTTGATCACTGCCTTGGCACACGCTGCCTTGACGGCATGTTTTCGCGGGTGCGGTTGTGGTTGTAATTGTTCGCATGTTCTTAATGATTTACCAGATGGACACACCAAGCAGCGACAGGCAAGCCTTGCAAACGAAGAGCTTAACGAAATGCCGCCAGAGGAGAACACATTTGTGGACGTTGTTCTTTGGAGAAGCCACACCCAGCGGCTGCGCAAGGAGGATTGGCCAACGCACAAGAAGAAATTTGAGGCATTGCCGAGCAGTTCCTCCGAGGGGTATGTTCGCTGCCGATTTGACGGTCAGCGGCGCCTTTGTTTAAGATACACGTGTTGAAAGGAGGTCAAACGCCAACCTTGCTTTCAACCAATGCAAGGTCGTTAGACGAATTTTCGACTCGGGCTCTCGCAATACTGTTCAACTTCTACTGCGAATGCAGTGCTGCTGCATGATTCCCAACAGAATGTGTTCTAATGTTCTTCGTTCCGCCAGCCGTTCTTGCTTGAAGTCTCTTGTGAAGGCTAAGACCAACGAGGCGAAGAGCGATGTGCGAACTGAAGCTCTGAAGGCAGAGGGGCTCTTTCTGTTTGGTTTTTGCACCGTGAAAATTGCTCCTGGCAAGTGATTTAGTGCTGGGTCGAGAGGATGTGTTTCACAAGCATGAAAGAGCTGACTGTTTGATGCGGATGCTAATGATATTCTTCCTGTCGCTACTTGCGGAGGATGAAGTGTTCATTAGAGACAAATCCAGGGTTAGCTTGTGGTTGAGCATGTGTATCATAGACCCGGCATGCACACGTTGAGCTGCTGATGTGTCATTTCCTCTCCTGAAAGGACTCGCTTGAGAAAGCGCTCTCAAATTGCAAGGCCAGAGCAGTTGAACTGAAGCTTTTGGGAATCCTTTCAGCTATAGAACAAGGACTTTAAGAAGAATACTTTAAGGAATCTAAGTTAGAGCGATGGCCTCCTGCCAAAAGCTTTTTTCAGGCGTACTGGAAGGAGCTTCAGTTGCCTGCCGAGCAGATCATACTCAACGAAGTACAGAAGATGCGACCCCGCACACTTGACCCAAAGATCATGACAGAAGTCAAGCGTGCTTTGCGCAACCTGGAGGGAGCTCTCGAAGATTGTGCCACGTCTGAGGACATGGCTGTGATAATGGCGGGGTCTAAAGGAGTTGTACAAGAAAAACACCTTTAATGCATACCTGGCAGCAGAAGTGTGGATGTTCTTGGTCTACAGGAGAGCGAGCTTGAGGTCCATAAGAAGATCATCCAAGAGATTGAGAACGTTGCTTTGCTTCCATGCCTTTTCAAACATCTGAAAGACAAGGAGCGGCAATGTGGACTCAGGTAGCAGTCGATGCCCGTGACGATCCAATACTATGGGTGTGGAATGAGAGTAGTCGCGCTGTCCACAAGCTGCTGTAGCACACTGCCCAAGTCAATACAAACTCGAACCAATGAGACTTGTTTGGCAGCTTTCTAAGTGTCAGAAGTCCTTGACTGCTTGATACCCAACGAAGCTTCAAACCTGCAAGCCTGTCCAGGAGTGGATGGTGAAGGAAGTCCTAGACATAAAAGAGAAATGGCTTGGGAAGGACTTGGGGTGAGAGAGGGAACCTTTGGCAAGAATTAGCTCTTTAAAGCTGAATTTGAGTCCTGTTTACTTTGCTGAGAGCACAAGATGGCAAGAAATGATTTTGTAGAATGCATAGAGTAATTCGGTGAGCAAGGTGCCTCGATTTTTACACAGGCCTCAGCTGATTTTATCAATCCACCAGCTCACCGGGGAAATGTGTGTTGATCTCACCTTGTAGTGTTTGATGGCATTCAACCCACGTGAGTTTGTCCTTTCCCATCTTCAACCATCCCACCTGCTCATTCTGTCAGTGAAATCTAACCTGGCAACTTCCAAATTGATTCTGTCTCCACTGTCTCCACCTGTCTCCAGTTGTTGGACTGACTGATTTGGAGTCACGCCTCGTGCGCACAGGACTATGTGGGTACTTTGAACACGAAGACAGACCTGGCGGTTCTGTTGCAAGAGTTGGACAAGAAAGAGGAAGCTGAGCAAAAGCTGCGAGAAGTTCTCACAACGATGCAAGCAAAGAACGACAAGCTTGTTGGTAAGTTTCCTGAAGCTGGCAGCAGATCTTCTGCCCAGGACCCTTGTTTGATTTGATGCGTCGAGTTGTAGAGTGTTAGACATGTGCAGAAGCAGCATGTTTGGTTTCAGGTAGCACAGGCATGCCAGTCAAGTCTAGCTATCTCATGGCAAAGAAGAAAACAGAAACGATTGGGATTGATCATGAGGACTCACAAACTATCGGTGGCTCTTCCACTAGTGAGCGAGTGAAGGAAAACTTTGCGCTGCACTTCGTCATGGATGGGCAGGCATCTGTCATTGACAAGACCGGTGACATTGCCTTCGAGGGGAACATTCGAAGAGGAGCCAAGTTCTGCATCATTTCTTTTCCAGGGAAGTTTGCTTCAGGGTGGGATGCTTTGGTGGCTGCATTGCATGGTGAATCCGTCGCTTGTGTTTTCTTGACCACCCCCGAGACTGGCCTTGGCAAGCATAAAGATGATGGAAGTGGGAAGTGCTGGTGTAGCCAGATCTATGGCGAGAGAAACTTCAAGCAGTTCGGCTATCTGGTCGTGATGAAGGACCCTGATCCGGAAAAACTCAAGCAAGCACTGGAGAACGCGAAATGTACCCATGCCATTGTGGTCCCCTTTGATGCCACCCCAGAAGAAAGGAAGGCGTATGAGGAAGAAGCCAAGAAAGCCTGGGAGAAGTATGGGAAGGTCGCTTCCTGGGGTTGCGAGTGGTTCGTCGTTTGGATGGAGCAGGTGGGCAACGGATCGTAGGGGGGCCTTTATCTGCAAACAGTTTTGCTCGTAGATGGTCTTGCCAAAGCCCTAGCAACCCTAGCCCAGCCAATCCTCAGATTGCTTCCTGTGCTATAGCAATCAGCTAAACAGTGGCCAGGTGCCAGCAGGCAAGTCAAGACGAAAGAAACGAAAGTAGGCATCAACCGCAAGCTCAAAGACGGAAGATGATGTTGTTTGCCATCCCAAGAGACCATCTCATCGTGTTACAGAAGGACAAGAATGTCTGAAAGTCCCTTTCAGAAAGGGAACGCTTAGTCTTCAAAGGGACATTCGGCTCCGTCAAGCAGAATCCTTGTTCAAGGGTGCCGCTGAAACCAGGTGTGAAACCAGGTGCCAATTGAACGGCGGCAAGAGACTTCGGACCAATTGCACAGCTGAGAAGCACCCAAACAGCACCCCATGAACGCGACACGCGCAAGATCGGACACTTTTGTTGGAAAGCAGGGCGATCAGGTGCAAGTTCACCTACGCTGAGTCTGAAACAGGTGCAAGGCCACGTTCTTGGTTGGAATGTACTTGATCTTGATCGTCAATTTTGATGTCTGATGTACCTGAGAAACCAATTTGTTCAAGTCGCATCAAGATACGGATTTTGTGTTTTCCTGGAGCTGTTTAGGATCTAGGTCATAAATTTTCCTCAGGCGATTGTGATACCAAAGTGCCAAAGTGTGTCTTGTATTTACACCTGCGGATTGTTCCGCCGGCCCTTTTGGCCGCAGCGAGAAAGCCAACTTAGTGGGTGTGAGTGCGGTGCAGCGGTGGGACGTTGGCCGAGAAGGGGTGACTGCAAGAGTAGAAGTCAAACTGGATGTGGTCACATGCAGCCAATCCGGAGAAGCAGTGACATTTATGCAGATAAGGGTGCAAGGCTGACACAGCAGTAGGTCAAAGGTCTGCTCTGTGCTGTACACATGGCATGCTACCTACTACTTACTACTCCCTGCTCCCTACTTTCTACTTCCAACTTCCAACTTTCTACTTACTATTCTTTACACTGCACGGCAAAGCTAGGGGCCTTCTTTCCATCTTCGACTCTTTCAAGTGCCCACTTCCACAATGGGCCTCTTGATGGAAGCCATTTTCTCACAGTGAAGCCGCGAATCCCTAGGCTCTCGGAAAGGCATGTCCTCACAAAAGACAAAGCAACATATGACATAGAAACCAAAAAATACAAACAAAAGACAGCGCAAACACCAATACTTACATGGGGGGAGGGAGGGAGAAGAGGGGGGGGGGGGGGGGGGGGGGAGGGGGGGAGGGGGGGGGGGGGGGTGAAAGAGTGACTAGGGCGTACACGGTTGAGGTGCAGACCGCTAGTGTCTTTTATACGCAGAGTCTTATCCTCTTGTCTTCTTGAGCCTTATGGCAGTCAAGCATGGACACACTAGATAGGCCACTGGAGTGGAACCTGTACAAGTAGGCCTCTACATTTCAGCAGGCACAAAATTCATGTCCACTCCTGCCTATTGCGTATGTCGCACACTATTTTTCTACCGTAAGGCTAAAACAGTCCAGCAAGCTCTAGTAAGCTTAAAAAGGAAACTACGGTGCCTTGTACTTACCAATTCCAGTGTTTTTCACAAGGTATACTAAATACAGTGAGGGAGCGATAGCTTACTCACCTCAAATACAAAGTCAAAGACAATGTACCTCGGCTGACTGTACCTTTCACCGGCGAAGATACCGTGTGCCGGCGCTCAATAGCCCTTAAATAGCCAGAGCTAAAGAAAGAAAAAGGGAAAGCGGCTTTTTACACAGAGACCTATAAAAGCAGTAAACGACACTCGCATAACAAAAGAACTAAAAATTCAAGACCGCACAAATGCAATGAATTAAGATGCCTTGCAAAATGCAAGGAGCGTCAACTCTCGGTCCGAGGAATGGTCTTCTCGAAAAGTGGTCTCGGCCGCTTTCATACACAGGAATGCATCAAAAGGACTCTTTCTCTCATTGACACCAAAAACAAAAAGGAAGGAGACACCGGCAAATGTATGTACAAAACTTGCACTACAATTGCAAACTCATAAAATGACTTAATCATCAACCATGAATGGTTGTCCATTAGAGGTCATTTCATAAAGAGCGACTGTGGCAAATATCATCAGCCTTGAAAAACTGTCCATACCTACCTGCAGATAATATCTGTTTTGTAAAACTGTATTTATCTGCATGCTAAAGTGTAAAACTTCAGCCTGGCACTTAAAGTCAAGCCTGGAAGCAAAGTATCAACTGTGATCAGAAGTATCTTCACTTCCTAGCTATCATTAAAAGTTAGCCTTCGCTCTGAGGTTATGCCGCTGCAGTCGATGGAGCTGCTTGATCAGAAGTTGACGGCCTTCCTTTCCTTTTATTCTCTTTCTGTCTCTCCTTCCTTCGCAAGTTAGCCTCTCGTAGAGTCTCGCCCTGGCGATAAAGTCTTCTGTCTCCAGATGAAAAGGAAGCTGGTCTGAGTGAAATAAACATTGGACCATGACTGTCATCGTCAGAGGGTCTCGAGCACATAATCTCCTGGTCAACCAAAGCAAAGTTCTCTGAAAAATTACAGATGAACTCCTTCGTGCTCACTGTGGAATTTGTATATTCCTCCTCACTCATCGAATGACCCCATTCAACAATGGTAGACAAACATGTATCGCCAAGCTTTGATCCCTGGTATACTTCTTTCTCTTCTGAAGAGTATTCTTCCCAGCGTTTCTCAAAGTAAACTTCACACTGCTTGAGAACACGTGAAGATGAGCTGTAAAAAGTTCTGGGAATAGGTGCTTTGATACCAGGATCTGCTCTTACACGAGCTTCTGAAAACCTGCGGATCCAATGCTGCATGGTGCTGTAATAATAGTTAGCCATTGGCTGCCTTTTGTACCCAGACATTCTGTAGGCCAAACTATTTGCATCGCCAGAAATGATGTCCACCTCATAAACAAAACACTCATAAAGCATCAGTGCTGTCTGTTCTCCTGTCAATCGGCATCCACAGCACGGTGTGTGTCAACATGATAATTACAGACTCTGATGGTATGCATGTTCGCTCGAGTAAGTGGAACACGCTGATCCTTAGGACCATAGTCCTCAAATTCAAAGTCTGCACCCTTGAAATCCTGACGAGGCCTCGTTTCTCCAAAACAAATCTCGTAGATAGCCCAAGTTACATCACGCTGTTGACAGTGACCAAGGTCTTGGTCATGTCCAGCAATGACCTTGACATATCCACCTGGTGCCAATCTAGCCATCACTGCAAGATTCTCCCAATCATTGAAACAAACTGTCCAGTTCTTTTGCTCAATAAAATCCTTGGCAGGAACAAGGAGATGAGCTTCCTGGAGAATCACGACATGTGCACGCAAAAAGAAGAGCACGTTGAAGAAAAGGTTGTTTTCAAATTGCTCATATTGAAGTGACATGTCACTCTGCTTGCGTGGCTTCATTGCACGATCAAGTCCTTGGAGAAACTTTGGTGTGGTGTACTTCTGACCACGAACCATGTTGCCATAGTTCCAGGATAAAAAGGTCAAGGACTCTGAGCTGGCCAATAAGTTAGTTCCATATTGTTCTTCTATTCTTCCTTTGAGGAACCTTTTGCACAGCTCTTCATAGAAGGCGACATAGTCCCAACTGGGTCCCTTGGGACCAAATGCTTCCAGTTCTTCTCTAAACTGTTCCTTTCTCACCTCCAAATCTGCCCGAGCTTGTTCTGCCCTTTCAAGGGCCCTTGGATCGACCTGATACTTGTCGTCCAAATAAATGATGCGGTCATCATTGATGAAAAATCTCTTCAAATCATGCTCTGGGCTGTCCTCATAACAATCAGGTGGAGGTACTAGACAGACCTTTCGAATGGATCGAACAAAGTCGTCCTCTTTGATCATTGACTGATAGTGAGGATGGGAAATCTCACCTTTTCTAAAACAAACATGGTTCAACAATCGTGCGTGAGTTTCCCTGAAGCATTGTTGATAAAAGCCAATACCTGGATCTCCTGTAAGCTCTCCAAGCAACCTCAAAGGTGAAGTATGCAACTCATAGGTATTGTCAACATCCACTGTATCTGTATCAACAACTACTTCAGATGGAAAAGATTCTTGGATTTCAGCCTCCAATTTCTTCTCTCCATCATCCTCTCTGACCTCTTTTATCTTCTCCACCGCCTTCTTCTTCTCCTCAATGGTTGCATCATCTTGAACTTCTTCATGAAAATGAGGATCAGGAATTTTATTAAGGCGGCTTTTCTTAGATTTCCGCAGACTTGGAGTGTCATCAAGGTTAGCATCCTTCTCGCACGATGGTAAGTGCGATGCAGTTGAGTCCTCACCTATCTCTCTTGACAGAAAGTGTGATGCTGACTCATCCTTGGCTTCCTCCTGGTCCACTTCCATCTTCATGTCCTCTGAAGGAAAACACCTGCATTCTCATCAAAAACTTCTTCATCTTTTACGAGTTCAACTGCAGGATCTTCTTCAAGGACTTCCTCTTCCATATCTTCACCTTTCATAATCTCCATACTACCAGTATAGATCTCACCAGTGATCGTGGAGACTCTTGTGTAAGGAGGAACTTCTTCACCTGCCTCATGAGCTTGTTCTGCAACATCCTTGGTGAGCAAGTCCTCTACAAGATTTTCTCCCATGGTTCTTGGAAGAGATTCTGAGGTCTCAAAATAGTCTGTCCTCTCTGAACTGAAAAACTCCGTTGCCTTCTCATTGTCCTTTTTCTCCTTATAAAGATGAGTAATCTTCACTGCTTCTCCCCGCAACACCTGATCACCTTCTCTATACTTGTTGACAATGGAGCTCCATACTGGCACGTTGTCATCATCAAAATCAAGCTCCATATCATCTGCCAGCAAGTTTGAGATGTTTTGAGCTGCCTGTTCTTCTTCTTCATCACGTTCTCTGGCACGCTCCTCATCCTTCTGGATCTTGTAGACACCCTTCAGGATGTTTTGTAGTACCTTTAAGTTC